TCCAAGGTTGAGAATGTTTTAGCTAGCCAACATTTTCTCAATGACACTGAAATGATAGAAGAGTTTGTAGAGTCACAATCTGAAGAATACTTTTTAGTGGGACAAAGGCGCCTCAGCACTGCTATAACAAATGTGCTGCGCTTGAGGGTGATTACGTTGACAAAGAAAAGCACCGTAAACCCTTGTTTTCTCGTTTGAGGTTCAAAACGTTTCATTCACTGTATGTAAAATCAGGAGAGGATAACAATGAACATGCCAATGATGTCAGGTGTGTGACATGCTCCGTACTGTCTCAAGCTACATGGCAACAGGAGGGACTAAAAGCATTCGTTTTCATCGTCACCAACTCCAGTTCCCACGGTTAAGTTAATGCTTACATGGTTGGCGGCATCCGGATTCGGATTTACCTGTCACGGTGGCCAGCCACAGGACGCCTGCGCCTACAGAGGGACCATGGATGGCTTGTGCTGCACCACCCACAGCTCCAACCACACACCCCATATCCAGTGTAAACCCGAAGGAATAAGACCGGGAGGCATCTGGATGGGAGCCACATTTCATCAACGGAGCCGGCCCAAACTCCTTCACAGGCAAACACAAGCACCCTGTATTTGGGGAATCAAGCGCACACAAGGCAGTGGCTGGACCGTAGTCCGCTCCACACTGACTGCATGGAACCGCTCGTCGAGCTTAGCACGGCCACAAGGACCGTGCACCCTGTCCCCTCCAGAAACGATCAACTGTCTCCTGGAGCCAGTATGGACGAGGTAGTGGGTAATAGACAGGTAGGCACCTTGTCAACATGCACATCAAGCGCATCCACACCGGGGATATCAAACAACAGCCATTCACTTTAAACGACAAGCTGAAATAAAATAAATCCAATAATACATACAGATACGGTGGCATAACTCTTCCCTAAATTACCATATGAAGTAAGTTGGTTAGCAACGAATCCGCGATAAGGAAAAAATGTCCACAAGTTACTTAAAAATGCTACCAGCGCAACAGTTACCGAAGATAAGCGCAATTAGCGTAATGTGGCGTTAAAATATATACCATCCTTCATCTAATGAAACCACTGGAGAAACTTACTGGTTATAACTTTCTACTCATATGTTTGTCAGTACGGTGAATTCTATATGATAGAATCGTAACACATCAGTCGTTTTCTTCGACAAACAGCACACCGGAAGGTTGTGACAATAGTGATATCCGAATAAACCAGTTTTAAGGCATATTAAAGTATATGGAAGCAATAGATTGTGGTAGCGAGATTTGTGGGAAATGCATTTCTTTGCGTTAACTTGCGATCTCGGGGCGGATACTCCCATTGTGATTAGTTTTGCCATAAATGATGTAAATTACTTTTTTAGAATACCTCGAGGAAAGAACATTAAACTTAATTGCCATATAAGTAAGAAAATTTTTACGTATAAAACTACATCATGAAGTTTTTCGCAAGGAAGTCTTTTCTACATATCTCAATCATTCCAGGAAAGTGGTTGATTCGTTGGTACTCCTTTAAGGTCATGATTCTCTCCAACGGCAAGAAGAAGTCTGTCCAAATCAAATAAGCATCAGACAAGTTAATGCTTACACCTCCTTACATACACACACAAAAACAAATCATTCAACGGGTTAAAGGAGCACCAAAACGTCCAGTAATCGTTTACGCGCCTAATCGATGAAGACATGATGCCCAGGAAAGGCACGAGCAAGGCCCACCAAGCAATGATAGTCAGGAAAATGTAGGCTCCTGAGATGTCCAACAGAATTGTTCAAATCACCGTGCGGTTACTCATACACGACGTGATTGAGACAAAAGTGTCAGATGGTGTTCTTGCATTTGGAACAGGCGAGCGAAATTCAGGGACACGCGAATTCGCAGTTGGGAATTTTTGGAAGCCGAAGAAGAGTTTCTGCAGATGACTTTAGTGTCAAATGACCATACAGAAAAGTTCATCCGAGTCCGCAACAGACTCCTTAAAAGAGGAACTGCTGGAGCTAACGGCAGAGAAAAAACTGTTTATTTTGTTTTGCCGTTCATGCGGGACAATGCGGCAAATGTTATCGGGCACAAGCTCGTGTCCGCTCTAGTGCGCACGTACACCACTGCCCAATTGCGCCTATGCACACTACCCGGAAACTTGTTCTGCATGATCACCAGAACAGCTATGGGCTAGTTCGACTTCTCATGCCGTTTATTAATTCAGCTGCAGTGGCAATGACGTTTACATAGGCAGAACTGAATATCGGTTGGTTCAAAGGGTGTCTGAACACCTGCTAAGATAGGTGGAACAAATGATGATGCAACAAACCGGAGTGTCTCCACCCCCTCCCCACCCAAAAATGAACCGGAGTCCGTCACTAATCACATCAAGACAACTGGTCACCATGTGGACCCGAAAACTGCGTTCAAGGTGCTAGGATGCAACAGGAACCCGATAAGGTTGGCGCTGCCAATTAGGGCCTATCAACCTGTGATATATGCACAGAAAGTCTTGAGGCAGTCAATTAGGTTGCATTGGTCTTGATTATGACATTTTGATTGGTGTATTAATTTTTCTCATGTATACATTTGTGTGTGTTCTGTTTGTGTTATTTCCATTGCCATAAATCTTCTCAGGATCATTCTTTGATGAACCACTGGTTGTCTTAGAAGCTGAATCATTGAAAGCTAAGCTGGTTCCCATTCTGGTCGTGATTGCATCGATCACACATTTACTCTCCGTCAAGCGTCAGATCAGATATGCACCTACAGACAACAGAAAATAGTGATTTTCCTAGACGTGGAAGTCGCCTTCGATTCTGTTGACCGCGCCACCCTTTGGCAATACCTATTCATGAACGACGCACTGATAAAACTCATATCCATTCTGAAGTCTTTATACCGCAAATCCTGAAGCCGTGTAAGGGTCAGTGGAAAGCTGTCTCCTGAGTTCCCCACGATAAGTGTGGTGCGTCAGGGTTGTCCTATATCGCTGCAAGGTTGTGATCGAAATGATGGTGAATGACTCTGTTGCTTCAGACTCTGACAGGTGACCGACTGACAAAGCTGGAGTATGCGAACGATATAGCTCTACCTTGGCTTGACGCAATGGCCATGCAAGCACTACCGGAGAGACTGAGGCGTAGCGCTACACGTTTCGGTATGTGCTTTGCACCTTCAAAGTGCAAAGTACTGCTGCAGGGCTGGATCGACATACGTCAGGTCCTGTCTATCACCCAACATCCAACGGAAGTGGTGGATCGGTTCACTTACCTCGGTAGCTTTGTCACATCTGGTGGTCACAATACTGAGGAGGTTATCTCGCGTATCAGCAAGGTCCGAGCGGCTTTCCAGAGGCTCAACCATTTATGGAGACGGTGGAACATCAGTCGATCAGTGAAAGGTAGGATGTATAAGGCTGTAATAAGGTCGGTGTTCTTGTATGGAGCAGAAGCTTGACCAGTTCGCAGTGAATATATTGAACGAATTGCCCTGTTTGATAACCGGTGATTGTACAGTGCTGCGCACATCCGGTGAAAACACCGGGTGAACAATGCTGACATCCGCAAGTCGGTTTTTGGCAAGAACCCTAGTGCCTCACGGGAAGCACAAACACAAATTCGGAAGGCCGTGCTAAAGAGTTTGTAGACCCGGAGAGAGAAGTATGTTCGTCAATACTCCAGACGACTGTACTGTTGACTTAATTTTAAGCTAATGACTCTCAGGTCAGACAGCAAGCGTACAGATTGGCGATTACGCCGGTAAAAAATGGTAGGTCAATATCGCCGGTGTAAATGGGTGAAAAACGTTAGGTAAGGGAAGTGTCAGGAAGTGTGATGTGATCCTAACGAAATCCCTCCAAGTTCCAAAGCTCGTGTGGACGTTTAACGTTGGTACAAGAGCGCAGAATAAAAGTCAACAGCGGCAAGAACGCAGGCAGTCCTTGAACTTTTGGAAAGTGCTGCGTAGCTGCCGGGCATTGTGAAGAAAGTTTGACAAACAGACAGAGTGCTAACTTAGAACACAACATATCCGCAGTATGTCAATGCATCAAACGACCATCTAGCAGCCCCGCGACCACCGGTAGTCGCGTTAGGGCGTGAGTTACTGTGGGACCGCCGGCACTTATGTGCGCTTGAATCAACAAGCGGTGGAATAAAGCAAAGATGTCAGAACAATTCGGCCACAAGTCGGTCGAAGTGAAAACACAAAATGAGGGCCGGAAGAGTTAAGAACACATCATAATGGAAGAGGAAAAAATATGCTTGGTGGCATCCGATTCCGGATTTGCCTGCCACTGCGGCCTCCATGGGGACAGCCGCAGGACGAATGCGCCTACAGAGGGCCATGGGTGGCTTGCGCTGCACCACTCACAGGTCCATCCACACACCCCATATTCAATGTAAGCCCAAGGGAATAAAACCCGAAGCAATCCAAATAAGAGAAAAGTCTAATAATTGGAGCCGACCCGTACAACATGTCCAGCAGCAGCATTTGCTTCTATCTAATTGTGGAATCATGTGCACCCGCGCGTACACAATGCGGTGGCTGGGCAGTGACCCGCTCCACACTGGATGTATAGCACCATTCTTTGGGCCTAGAGTACGATCACGATGCCTGTGCCCCACGTCTCCCAAAGAAACAACCAATTGTCTCTTGGAGGAAGCATAAGCGAGATAGCGATATTTCGACAGCGTAGAAATATCAATCAACAAAACATGGAATATGAAAAAAGTAGAAATACAAACTGGACATGAAATGTGCGACTGAACAGACGGAACAGAGTAAATTAAAAATGTGTATGCGTTTCATCTGGTGTAAGTCAGAAGATTTCAACCAAATAACGCTGAAAATATAAGTAATTCACAAAATAAAAAAGGATTATGCGGAGAAGTAACAGAACTGATCGAACAAATTAGAATGAATTATGTCAGGTCTAGGGCAATGCGGTGAAGATATTTAATGAATGCAACATCAACCTCAACACGTTAATCACACTGTAACTAACGTTAGTGAGCAAGCTTGCTTGATCCAGCCCCTTCGAAAAGCGACGCTCATTGGTGAATATCAAGGAAGGAGAGTTGGGATGATAGCGAGGATCAAATGCTGTGGGCGACCACGGTTGCATCCGTTGCTTCCTCGCAGCTTCGAGTTTGAGAGCCACTTCCGGTGGTACACCGATTTCGATTTCCTCTGCCAGAGCATCATCGTAGCGCGTGGATGCGAACATATCCTCTGCGTCCTGTAGCGGACAATTTGGATCGGTGAGCAGACGCTCCGGTACACGCAGTTTGTCCACCTTCAAGACGGAGCCATGCGAATCCCAAACGCGTTTACGCAAATATTCCAATTTGTCCCTGTAAATTCGCTTGCCACGAAGCAAAACAGCGCTTAGTCGCATTCCGACACAACTACAGACTAAAACGACAGGTGAACGAAATAGAGTGATTAGAGGAAAGTAGGAGTTCAATAGTACAAGTAAAAATGCATCAGAGTTAGACCCAGTCAGACAGTCACCAAAACTCCCAGAAGCACTGTACGTGTGTTTCATCCTGTTGGGAATCGTCAGCAGTGCGCATTGCATCTGGCCCCTGTGGGGCTCGAACCCGCAACTTGTCTCTTGTCAGTGTGGTTGAGACCACTGAACTACGGGGGACGGCGACGACCATGGTGACTAAGTCACTGGATGTGATATAGCACCGTTCACTATCCACTGACTTGCATGTTACTGCCGTACAGAAGGCAGAGTAGCAGCCTCTCACACGAGAAAAAGTACCAAGTAATAACCCATCTAGCGGGTTGGTTGGAAACAAATCATAAGCTCGTTCCCGATCACAAAAGTAAACGCCTGCGGGAGTTCACAGTATCACCGATAAGGCTCTCCGATTGAAACTAATAATCAAGTGCGATCTGTTTTCTGTCAACGACTGAGAAACGAATGGGCGTGTGTAGGTCAGAAGCGCCGGTCTACTGAGCACCAGACTTAATGATCGATAATGTATTCTCGACACCTACCTAGACATGCTTCGATGAGAGACCAAAATGTCTTGTAGATAAATACAAGTTGGTCGTGTATCGTTCACAAGCAATGAATCAACAATGAGTGGTAAAGTGATCAGACGAAACAGTGTGACTCATCCACGGTGGGTTGCTAGCCGATGAACGGCTGATCGCTTGCGCAAGCGGAACACGAGGAGAGGTCAACGGCACAGGTCAGAGAGCGCACGTGAACAAGGTCAGATGAGAGTAGGTTGTGGATCTTAAGCAATGTGCCCACCAAACGTGCCGGTGATAAGTGGAATAGCTTAATTAGGCCTTACCGGATGTATTCGCTATAGACGACTATCGATGCGTAATTGCATGTACTCCGCCGTTGCGTCATCAAGAAACCAGCACCGATATTGCGCAGCGAAGTGAGTTGGCCAGTGCCGGATGAGATAACAGGCAGTCCACTGTTGCGTTCTGGGGTACTAGCTTTGTGTGTCTGAAAGGTGTTAAGTAACCTCAATTTGGCGCAAGCTCTGCACTGAAGTAAACCATGTCGATGACAAGCAAAAGGACAACATCCGATTCAAAGGCCTATGGTGCCTCGGGTTCCTCGCACTACAACGTCGAAGGCGAGAAGAAGTGGAAGTATCCACAGAGAAATACAAGTATAACAATACCATGAGGACCTCAGAAATCGGTCTGTTTTAGTGGAATTTCCTTGTACTGATATAAGTCAATATAAGTAGTGAGATAGTAATTGCAATAGGTTTTCTCGAATTTGTAAGCGCAACAAAAATCGTGTTGTAACGTGATACTATGTTCTAGGCTCTATCTTTTGAGAGAAAAAATTGTGATTATGTTCCTTATATACACATGATACCCGCAAATACAGAAACAAGGAAGGGATATTAGAAGTTCAGCTACTCTGAGTACTTTATTACACTGGCGTTCATTATAGCGACGTTTCATTGTATATCTGGGAGACATCGACATATCCCTTGTAACTGGCATGGCACTGAAACGTTTTCATCATATGAAACGCTGAAGCTTTAGGGAAAACTTAAGTAAAAACGAGTGGAATGAAGTTCCGCCATCGAATCGTTCTCTATGTACCAAAGTTTGCCTGCAACCACCTAAGGGAAACATTCCTGGCATTAGAAAACATGACGTTGCACCAGCTTGTTCACTGAGAACCGGACTACTTAGAATGAGTTCTTGGGGCTAATTTTGAACCCGAGATGTTCTATCTGCGCAACAATGAGCCCATATTCCATACACCACACTGCCAAAATCGATGCACATAGAGCTAATTGGTGAACTGCGTGCCCCCCCCCCCGCACTGCTGTTCAATCACGTACCCAGCCCCCCGACAACGTTTCACAGTCTCCGGATCCAGTATGATGGAGGTGGAGGGTGTTAGACAGGTGGGCGCCTTCTCAACATTCACATCAAGTACAGGCACATCGCGGATAGTAAAAAATCTACACAAAATTTGAGGGATGATAAGCATGCAAAGTTGGCAAGGAATATGCAGCAGAATAACAGAACTGAGAAACTAGGAAAGTGACATAAGTTGTATCCAAATCACGGAGATAACTTAGGTGTAAGTCGGTGTAGCACCACTGCAGCGAAGAAGCACGATGCATGTAGCATCACATATATGGGGTATGTGGATGGAGCTGTGAGTGGTGCAGCGCAAACCATCCATTGTCCCTCTGTAGGCGCAGACGTCCTGTGGCTGTCCTACGGAAGCCACAATCTGTGGTACAGATATTGTGCCATCGGGATCATGGCTGAATAGGAAAACAGTATGCATAATAAGAAAATAATAGCCTTTTTTGTCAGTTTGCCACTCACAGATTTTGAAATTTTTTTCAGTTCGTTATTTTAGGGGGAGAAAAGAGGGACACCGTAACACAACGATGCACACGTCCGCCACTGACATCTATCTTGATCCATGGCTTCCAAGGTCCTCAATCACCAAGTATCCGCATCTCTCGGGCCCCAACCATGTAGTCGACAACAACCGGCCGAGGCCAAATATTTCGTCAGCTTTTTCATGCGGCTTCTCCAAGTTGCAGGCTGTCCACCAAACCGTCTCTTCCAGCCCTGTCCAGCAACCGCAAATAACGCACGATGCGGGTAACGCTGGATAGGCATGTGCAATACGTGTCCCAGCCACCGCAGTTGATGCAATGAGACGAGCTTCTCGAGCGAGTGGCTTCCTCGTCCCAAGACACGCTGTCTAACTTCCACATTGCTTACGTGGTGCCGCCACCACACGAGCAATGGACCGCAGACAGCGGTGCTCGAAGACGGATAGCCTGCGCAAGTCATGTTTACGAATCGACCAGGTCTCGCATCCGTACAACAGTACAGCACGAACAGTTGCATAATATACCGGCCCATTGATGGAGAGACGAATGTCCTAGCGACGCCACAAATGCCTCAGGCTAGAAAAAGCGAGGCGTGCTCTCGAGATGCGCATCGAAATCTCGTCTCCAACAGCCCCGCCAGCAGTGATGCAACTTCCCAAGTAGACAAAGTTCTCCATTACCTCCAGTGTCTTACCACCAAGAGTGAATGTAGGCACAGGCACCTGCCAGTCTTGAAAGAGGGCCTTTCATTTGGATAGCGAAAAGTACATACCATACTTTGATGCTTCAATCGCCAAGTGGTTTAGTGCAAGTTGGACGACGTGTGGATCGTCACCCAGCAAGACGATATCATCAGCATAATACAAATCAACAACTCGAATACCTGGGAGGAGCTCAACGCCAGCGTTCAACGAATCGCCCAGAGCGTCCTTTAGCACCTCAATGGCAAAATTGAATAGGAACGGAGAGATGGGGCATCCTTGTGAAACTCCAGTGGAAACCACAAAGGAAGGCGAAAGCTTGTCATAAGCCCTAACCCTACCCGAGGTCAGACCATAGAGAGAGAGCAGTATGGAGAGGAACGTTCCGGGGACGCCATTCCTCAGTAGGCAGTGCCGATCGACAGAATCGAAAGCTGCACGGATATCTAAGAACACAGCAATCGTTAGCCTCTGACACACATGGCGGAGCTCGAGGATCTGGTGGAGTGTGAAGATTTGATCGATGCAGCCGCGACCAGGGTGAAACACAGCATGTTCTTCTCGTTGCAACGATTCGCGCGTTGGGGATGGCCTGCGAAGTATGATGGAAACCAGCAGCTTGCAAACGACGGGGACTAAGCTTATCCCTCTGTAGTTGGAGCAAATTGTACGCAGGCCCCTGTTGAAGATGGGAACGACTATCGATTCACCCCAAGATGATGGAACTTCCTCATTCGACCAAACTTTCGAGAACAAAGCGGTGAGTTCTCGAAGCAGCGAAGCGCCATCATCTCTACATAGAGCCGGAGGAAGACCGTCAGGGCCGAAGGCTCTATAACACTTCATGTCGCGGAGCTCCTGCTTGATTTCCTGGCAAGAGGATGCATGCAACCAGTCTTGCAGCCTAGCACGACCACAAGGACCGTGCACCCCGTCCCCTCCAGCAACGACCAACTGTCTCCTGGAGCCAGTATGAACGAGGTAGCGGGTAATAGACAGGTAGGCACCTTGTCAACATGCATAACAAGTGCAGCCACAGCAGGGATATCAAGCAACAGCCAATCACTTGAAACGATAAGATGAAATAAAATAAATCTAATAATGCATACAGATACGGTAGCATAACTCTTCGCTAAATTAGCATATGAAGTAAGTTGGTTAGCAACGAATCTGCGATAAGGAAAAAATATCCACAAGTTACTTAAAAATGCTACCAGCGCAACAAAGTTACCGAAGATAAGCGCAATTAGCGTAAGCAACGTGGTCGCTTTATTCGATATCGGCATTTTGAGTGATTGGCTGTTGTTTGACATCCCAGGTGTGGCTGCGCTTGATGTGCATGTTGACAAGGTGCCTACCTGTCTATTACCCACTACCTCGTCCATACTGGCTCCAGGAGACAGTTGGTCATTGCTGGAGGGGACGTGGTGCGCGGTCCTTGTGGTCGTGCTAGGCTCGAAAAACGGTTCTATGCACTCAGTGTGGAGCGGACTACGGTCCAGCCACCGCCTTGTGTGCGCTTGATTCCCAAATACAGCGTGCTTGTGTTTGCCTGTGAAGGAGTGTGGGCCGGCTCCGTTGATGAAACGTGGCTCCCATCCGCATGCCTCCCGGTCTTATTCTTTCGGGTTTACACTGGATATGGTGTGTGTGGATGGAGCTGTGAGTGGTGCAGCGCAAGCCATCCATGGTCCCTCTGTAGGCGCAGACGTCCTGTGGCTGGCCACAGTGACAGACAAATCCGAAACCGGATGCCGCCAACCATAGTTCTCTGTTAACTTGAAAGGTTGCTTACTCCATCTCCGTGATTTTCTTTGTATTATCCTTATTCTATATCCCACATGTAAGTCGCGATTGGGTACAGTTTCATTCTGGAATGATTAACTAATGACTTGGTGCAATGTGGTATCTTTATTGCACCTGCCTAAAACGAATGAGCCACACCTAACCTACCTTTATTGGGCTTACTTAACTCGGTTGTATTTCGCGATGACTTCACGTGTTGCCCATTACAATGT